GCCGCCATGCCCGGCGTGTCGCAGCTGCCGCTGCCGCCGGCGCTGGGCCGGCAGCAGGCCATGGCGCAGTCGCTGTCCCAGTGCAGCCTGGCGGCCGGGCCGCCGCCCAACTCCATGGGCCTGTCCAACAGCCTGGCGGGCTCCAACGGCGCCGGCCTGCAGTCGCACCTCTACCAGCCCGCCTTCCCCGGCATGGTGCCCGCCTCGCTGCCCGGGCCCAGCAACGTCACGGGCTCGCCGCAGCTCTGCAGCTCCCCGGACAGCAGCGACGTGTGGCGGGGCACCAGCATCGCCTCGCTCCGCCGCAAGGCGCTGGAGCACACAGTGTCCATGAGCTTCACCTAATCGGCCCGCGCCGCCGCCCCCTCGCCCCCCACTCTACTTACCAGGGAGTCGACTCAGGATCTGAAATCAGACACCAATGGACTGGTTCGTGGGCAGACACACACACACACACGTGCACACGCGCACACACAGACACACACGTGCACACACCCACCCCCGCGCACACACCCGCACACGCGCACCCAGGTCCGTGCTCCAGGAGCAGACACGACGCCTCGCGTCCTCACACCGCGCAGCAGAGGACTCAGGGGCAGCGGGGACCTCATTTCACCCCTTCCCCCATCTCCGAGGCTGTGCAGAGACCCAGAGCTTGAGTTGGGGGGTCTGTTTGTTCTGTTTTTCCTCGAGGAGAAGGGGTGGAGGTGGGCGGGGGGGGGAAGCGATGGGAGCAGCGAGGTTAGCAGAGTCCGGTTTTGATAAGAGACCAAATAATCATCAGCATCCAAGTGCGGTGTTGGTTCCCCCCCCCCGCTTTTCTTTTGTGCCCTTCAATCCCCCCCCCCCCGGATCTTTAATATCTCCATCCACTTGGTTGCCACTCTGTCCCCCTCCCTTGCCTTCTTTGCCTGCTTGTCCCCGGAGCCGGGCCCCCGCCCTGCTGCCCCCTGGCCCCGCGGCAGGTCCCGGCGGTGCGGAGCCGGGGCAGGTGCCCGCCCCGCCGGACGTTGTACAGAGACACAATCAGCTCTTTTCTGCATGTGCTGGTCAAACCCAACCCCAGAGAACAGAGGCGATCCGGAAGAATGAGCAAAGCAATGTGAGATAGGATGTTTTGTGTAGATAAAGCATTCTTGTTCCATCCTGGTCGGTTTGTGATATGTTCCCACCTCTTGTCTGTGCTTATTTATTGAACTTTTTGGGTTTCTTAATAAATGTTTGAGCTAAATACAAAGCAGATTCTTTGACTCTTGCCCCCCCCCCCCCACGCGTTCATGTAAGCGGATCAATAAAATCATGTGCAGTACGAGGAGCCCGGGTTTTGGTGTGGCGGGAGGCGCGACGCGGGGTCGGAGCAGGGCGGCCGGAGGAGGAGACCCGCTCCCTGCCCGTCCTGCCCGGCCGAGGGGCCTGCCCCAGCGCGGCGGGGGCGCTCGCGTGGGACTTTGCATCGAAGCCTTTTCCTGTCCCGACGGAGCCCCGCGGGTTCACCCCTGCCTGACGGGCCTTTCCGCGCCGGGCCGGGCCGGGCCGGGGGAGGGAGACGGC